GGAATAGGTGCATTTACAAAGGATCATCTAGATAATACAGGTCCAGGTTTCAAATCATCTTTTGTTTATTTGATTGGAGCCAAAAAAATAAAAACTTTATTTGTTCAAGAAATTAATGAGAAGAACTCCAGTGTAAAAATGTATCAAAATTATAATTTGGTGTTCACATATATTGGTAATAGTCCTAATAATGTATGGGAGAAAGTTGGCATACTTTCACAGCATAAAGGAATAGATTTATTTGGTATAACAAGCCCTCAAGTTCAATCTTATATTCAAAAATTTCGTGTACCTAAATGTCTGCCTGAGGAATGGATTATAGAAGAAAAAATGAAACCTCTATGGGAATATCATTTACGACGATTCACATTAGCTTCAACACCATGGAATGAATTTTTTACTAAATGGTACCATGAAACGAAGACCATAATTGAAATTACTGCTGCTTTAAAAGCAATATATCCATCAACTCATTCATTTAATGAAAGAGAAATGCGAGCTTGGAGGACAATGTTGACTCATGCTGGATGTACAAATATAACACCTTTTAATAAAGGTGCATCACCAGTAAGTCATATATAAACAATGTATTTTTCATGCTTGAAATAAATTTCTATTACTCACTATTATTTATGCTGGTAGCATGAATTTTGGACAAAATCCAGCAATCCAGAAGCTGATTGCAATAATTTACAGTTTTTATATGATTCAGCATTTTTGAAACCAATTCCTAAACAGTATTGTAGTGATGGTGATGTTTTTTGGGATAGTTTTCAACAATCATTGCAAGCTAATGCAAAGGGATATAATGGAAAAAGAAGAATTCTATCTATAATAGCAGAAAAATTTCCATATAAAATTTTGACAGAGAAATTGAAAGTAAGTATTAGGATATAAAAATCAATCATCAATTAAAATTTATTTTTATAATTATAATAGGTGGCTTCTAATACAATTAATGAAGCAAAAAAATATGCACGAATTAATGGTCCTGGCTGTGCAGTAACTGAAAGACCTATTAGAAAAATCAAAAAAATTACTTATGAACAAGAAAATCAATTCAATTCTTTTTTTCAAGATAAAGCCCATGTTATAATGAGCTCTTATAAAACTGATGCCAAAACAGGAGAACCAGTAGTTTACCTAAAAAATACAAAAAGGGCATTATGGGAAAAATTTAAATATAGTTTTCCCAATGGCATTAAAAGAACAACTTTCTACACCAAGCTAATGGGTAATCAATATGTTTATCGTGAAGATCTTGGGGGCTTGTGTTCCATATGTAGCTCATATGGATATGAAACATTTGAAAACATTATGAACCTGATAAAAGAAAAAATAAATAATATGGAATTACAGGTATTAATTAAAATATATGAAATGTGATATATAATAATCCACTAAATAATATTTCAATTAAATTAAAGAATGCCTTCCACTTACGTTGCCAATCATTACAACGATACTTAAAAAAACAATATGAAGAACATTTAGTGGTTACAGATCATGGAATAACTTCCCATGACTTGTGCATAAATCATTGCCTATTATATGCCTTTGGTGAGTGTAATGTTCCTCATACCCATACCTGCAATAAATGTCAAGAAGTATTCAAGCTTTTTGAAGATTTAAAAACAAATCTGAATACTTATTATGATGAAATCCAAGAATATCAAGATCGCTTGCTTTATTATATTGCACACCAGACCAGGAAAGTCTATTTGAATGCACAATTTAATGCTTCACTTTTAGATCTGGATGAAGATGGGGCAGTATTAGTAGTAGACTATAAAATGAAAATACTACCCAAAACCTCACGTGAGACAAAACAAGATTTTTTTGGAAAAAAAGGCTGGACCTTACATACAGTCTTGTTGTATACCAAATCCAATGAAAGTTCTGAAATCAATGTGGAAGCAATAGATCATTGGTCTACTGATGCTCGTCAGGATGCATGGTTTACTGCATCTTCATTGCATTCTGTAATAGAAAATTTGGAAATAAAGCCAAAATGGGTAAGTATAATCTCTGATAATGGCCCACACTATCATAACTCAGAACTCATGATTATAATGAGTAAATGGAATGAGTGGTATGGAATTCATGTAAAAAAATGGATATTCTTGGAAGCAGGAGAAGCCAAAACAGCAGTGGATTCTCACCATGCTCAGGTTTGAATTATAAAGTAAGAAAAGAATTCATTACCTTTAAATATTTCTAATGGTGATTTATTAGATATCACTTGCAATTAAACAATATGTTCGAGTTGGTGGAGAAATTCAGGAAGGAAATGATATTACTTCAGCTATTGAAAATACTGCTGGAACTTCAGTTGCTCATATTGAGCTCAATCGTGGTAAATTTTTAATTATAAAAGATAAAAAAAAATATAAAGTGTTATTAGATGAAGTTAATAAATATTTATATTAGCTAATTACACCAAAAAAACAATAAAATTATACTTAGATAATAAAAAAGAAAAAGAAAAAACTATGACAATTCCTGGAATATCTAATTGGTTTGAATGGAATTGGCCCACAGAAGGTGAAAATGCAGGATATATTCAAGCACGAGGAATTCCAAATATTGGAAGGTGGACAACATTTTCTCCTGCACAAATTCAAAATATTACAAAAAATGAGATTAGTCAACCATCACCCCAAGTTTCTGAACCAACTAAACCAAAATCTCCTTGGAAAATACCTCTCCCACATGCATCAGGTAATTAAAGTATATCACTTGAATAACCCAAATTCATTTCTAAAAATTTTGTTGAAATATTAGGAATCTGTCCAAAAAGATTAGCATTGCCAGAATTAAAAAATGAGTTGACAAATCGAGGAATTGTATATGATAATCAAAATAAAAGGCAAAAGCTAATAGAAATGTTGGATAAAGAATTGAGTCAAGAAACTTTAGCAAATGTGGAAGGTAATAATATATGTTCATGATATTTTTAAATGTTGTAAAATTTTACTAACCTAGTTTTAGGCTTGCCTTTGAGAAATCGAAGCATGGTTCATCAGGAACAAGAAATAAGGTAAGATTAGACAAATAATATTTTTTTGTTTTATAATAATAATAGATATAATTAAATGCTTTACATATCACAGCCCATTAGAATCATCTGAGTTTCCACTAGTAGGTGGTTGGGCATTGAAAGAAGTCCAAAAATATGGGAAGAAGGGTGGTGGTAAACATATGCCAAAAAGAATCATTCTCATTTTAGAACAATGTTTTTTGACAGGAAATATTGATAAGAGTTACCGAATGAGTCCTCAAGAAATGCTGGATGTTTTGAAATCAAAAGTAGAAGAAGGAGAAATTGAGAATTCAGATTTACCAAAATTACCAACTATACAAGGATGGATAACTAGATATTCAGCACAGTTACGTGAGAAAAATGCCAAAACAACACTTGGAGTCAGTAATTGAAAAACTCCTATAAATTTACTTTATTATTTAAAAAATTTATATAATATATGTATTAGATTTAAAAAAAAATATATACCTTCAATAAAAAAATTTCTTTTAAATTTATATACATAAAATTTTTTAAATTTCGAATTTATATAATAAATTTAAGTGGGAATCCAGCTTGGCGTCATATAGAAGTAAAAATAATTCATAGGAAAAATTTTTTAAAAATTGATATATTAAATCCTTGAGATTTTATGAACGTATTACAAGTATAATTGTTGTTTCTAAATCCATATATAGGAAGGTTACCTTAGGACTAAAACTTGGGCTTCGGAAAAAATCAATTAATGATCAGCAAAATTTAGCACCAAAATCGACTATTAATTTTCTCTACTTGTTTCACGGAACACGAATTAATAATTTAAAACGTGGTTGCTGAAAAACATACAAATTTACATGAAGTCAAAATACAGAATTTTGGAGGAAAATAAAATAACTGTACTACCTCATCCACCCTACAGTCCAGGATCTAACACCATGTGAATTTTTTCTATTTCTCAAAATAAAAAAAGAATTGGATTTAATTTACCTTTGGACATATAAATATTTTAATTGTAACAGTAATAATTAGTTGTGTTATAAATATAATTATTTTTTTTAAATAGAAATGTATTGTATTAATAAATATAATACATAAAAAAACTGTAAATAATTAAAGATTTTAAAAAACTTTGGGAGAGATTTAGAACAAATGTTTAATGAAGTTAATTTTAAAAAAATTAAATTCTGTTTAATTGCACAAGAAGAAAATATAAACAATACATATTTTATTAATAAAAATAATTTTAATTGGAACGCCTTTTTTGATTTTATTATTGATTCAGAAGATAAAGTAATTAGAAAAGTATTAGAAATTGATGAAAATATGTTTTAATGATTCTGATATGCTTCTATTAAAAATTATCATTTTTCGAGAAGAAAATTGATAAGATAATATTGATTATTGAAAAGAAAACCATTTCGAGAAGGAGGCCAAGATCAATAAAAACAATCACAAAGTCGAAATAATTTGATTTTTGGATATATTATTTTTTTAGAAAGAAATACTTTAATATTAAAATATTATATTAATATTAATATAAGTCACAAGCTTGATAATTTGAAAAAGCAAATAAAATCCACTATATACAATTAATTTCTCTTTTCAAATCACAATTAATTTATTACTATATATAAAAATTCCTCGATTGTTAATATTAACATTATACCATGAAGTCGAAATGTCCAAAGGCAAATTAAATCATTTTGGCTTCATGTATATTTTCGACTATCCAAAACAATTCTGATTATATAATACATTTTGACTTTTAATTTGACTTCATGATAATTAATCAGAATCCTTTTTGATAAGAAACAATACTAATTTTCTCATGAAAGAATTATTAAATTTGTCCTATAGAGTTTTCAAAAAAACAATACTATTTTTTTATTGTTTGGTCTTTCTGTAATAATATAAATTAAAGCTTTTTCAGAATAAATTTATATTCTAAATCTGTTTTTTCACAACAAAATTTTTCGTGATGGAAACAAATCTCGAAATTGAGTCAAAGTTTAAGAGTATCTTAGAAGAAAAGTCTCAACATCTTAACGAGGATTTTCTTTTTAGAAACATTTCTGGAATATGGGATCTTGATGAAAAAAAAGGCGTGTTAAAATATTATGCAGAAGCTGCTTTGAAAGATGTGGAAATTATTAAAGAAATTTATCAAAAATGGCGCGACCATAACAAAGAAATTAATGAAGACATAAGAGAAAAATTATTCAAAGTATTAGAAGTATTTGAAGGTGAAGAATCAGTAGTAAATAAGGATAAACAAATTTTATGCTATTTCTATTTTTTAATAGTAGATTATTCTTTTGGTTATGTTTATTTATATGAAAATGATAAAAAAGAAAATGATGGTCATGTGAATATTAAAGAAAATGAACGTGTTATAGAAGTTGATCAGACAATTGTTATTAGGAAGTTAATGAATGTGTTTAGTGCTTTAGAAAAGGATGATTTCAAGGACAAAAGAAAGGCCGGCATTTTCTTTGCACTTATTGTTATGTGCAATGAATTTAACATAAACAGTAAAAGACAAAATTCGAGAATTAACTATTTAGAAAAAAAAGGAAATAAGTTTATAATCAACGTAGATAAATTATGTGCATTGAGAATAAATTATATGATATATGTTGGGATTTTTCCTGCGATCAATGAAGCAGGATCATCTTCAAGAGAAATATTAGAAAAAGAACTAAAGCCATCTAATTTGATTTCTAAAAAATACCTTGAAAAAATTTTAAAATTTTTAAAATTACGTAGTTCATATCATTAGGTTTATAATTTCAGATATATTTGTATATTTATTTAAATTTTTAATTTTACTTAAAAATATCGGTGTATATATAAGTTTAAATGCTTTTAATTTTTTTTCTGTCTATATTTATGATGGGATTTTTTTTAAAAGAATTTTGTTTATTACTAGCCGAGAAAACTCTTTTCGCGAATCTAGAAAATTAGAATGACTAAAATACAAATCAATTTCATCTGACTTAAGTTTACCAAAGATATAATATTTTTTGCCCTTTCGTTTTTAAACTATTTACTCTCCATATATGTAAATATTATATAATTTTATTTTCTACTAAAATTGCAGCGGACAATTTTATTTACAAAAACTCACAATATGATTGATTGTTAATTCATTCTGATAAAGATTTAATTATATGTATAAATGGATTGAAGAAAACGTGTTCTTTTGTTGATGGACGACTAAATTTTATATAATTCAAAAATTCTCAATAATTTTTAAAGATAGAAGACGCGTGTTTTCTTTCTTATTATTATTATATATTAATATGGGCGTTAGACATAGTTTAATTAGTACAATAATGAGATATAAGGCTTGAAATGTTCACTTTATTATATCAAAAACATACACGTATATATCATATTTTGCTGTTTAATTAATAAATTTGAGAGGACTATTTTTAGTTATTATTGTCCATACATTGCTGAACTTCTAAAATCTCCAAACCAAGAACCATTTCTATTACTATAACTGTCACTATTAGTGTTACTAACACCACCACCATTATTTTTTTTGTAATAATTGTATAATATTAATATTACGGCCGTTGCTAAAAACATTAAGCTCCAGGCTGCTAAATGAATACCAGGACCAATTCGTTGTTTGTTGAGACCTGGTATTAAAGCAATGATTCTAAATACCCATACAAATAACAATATATCAAATATCAGGGCGAGAGTATTAAGAATTAAAGAAAATATTAAAAGAACTATGATCACTACATGATGTATATTATAATGAAATGAAAAAAGAATAATGATATTTATGATAAGAACTATTAAATATGGAGTAGAGAAAAAATCTACAAAATTAACAGTTGACACTTGAGGTTTAAAATTTTTAATTTCTTCTAACATTATTGGTAATATTTCGTTTGCTATTTTATTAATATTAATTGTATCGCCACTGACTTCAGAGATAGAAGGTACTTAAAGAAAATAAAATAAAATATAGATGGATCAATCAATAATAAAAATTATATTAATTTTATTACTTACTTTTATCAAAGTTATGTGCTAAAGAGGGGTCAGAACAAGCATTATCAACACAATATGCATACAAGGTAAATGTCATATGTTGTTTCTTTATGACAGATTGGATTGATTCATCAAATGCATGTCTTGATAGATAAATTAAATTTAAGCTACCAATCAACAAAATGAATAAAAGTATGCTCAATAATATTATAAGAGAAATTGTTATAGCAACTAATGGATCTCTTTTAAATGGTTTAAATATATGATTTTTACTCATTTTGAACACAATCCCGCCGTGTATATATATAAAAATAAATATTAATTCGAAAGGTTGTTAATATTAATGTTGTCATTTATATCTGAAAATTCATAGTAATAGTAATTATTAACATCAGGTAGATTGTATTGTATAATAATTATAATGCGAATGCTTTAAAAAACAATACAAGATGATTTGAAATTCCAAATAATATATACCATAATTTCAGTTTTAAGAATGCGAAAAAAGACCGAGCACAAATTATAATAATAAACATCTATCAAGAATGACATCTGTCATAGTAACAACGAACCTCACAACATCTTGATAATCATGAATTGCACGTAACAGAGTAAGAAATATTAAAATTAGGTTACAATTTTAGTTACGCTTTTTTAATAATAATACCAGGAAACTCGTTAGCAATATTTTCTAAATCATTCATAAGATTCTGATTAGTATATTAATATATATAATAAAATATATATTAATATTTTGTATCCAAGCACCACCCCAAAAATTTAACTATTACTATTACTATATATACAGCGTGGGACAAAAAAATGGAATTTTTTTGGTACGATTTCAGAAAAAAAGGATTTTTTTGTTCTATCTAGCATAAAATTGCCACTACGTTCTATATAAGGATCATTCCTGAATTTATTACAAATATTAAGATGTTGAAAGTCTATTAGTGAAAAATAAGTTCACAGATTTTTGTAATTGGATTTTTAATGAAGCAAAAATTAATTTTATTGCAAGCAATCAAAAAAATTTTTCATATAATTTATATTAATAGAGACCTCCGATTTTCAGCTTTCTTTTGTTATAATATGTTTTTTATTTGTTTTATTTAACCATTGAGAAATATTAATATATAAATAAAAAATTCTGTTTTTTTGTCTCTCACTAAATAATTAATTGAAGAACGTTAGTATCAACAATATTATACATATATAATATGTAATAAACATGCCGCCTTTTGTTATCGGTGATTATTTCTCCTGATATTATGTGTTTTTGGCAACTCTGTTGCTAGCAGGGCAGCACTACTACCACGTTTTACTTTGCCTTTTACATTGCATTCTTTAATAAATAGACTTTCGTGGTCAAATGATCCATTGATCAATTAGTCTAATAATGGACATGCATCGGTTACTATTTCGTTGCCAAATGGCACATTGATCAAGTAGTCTAATAAATTACTATATACTTAATCTATCTACTTAGGATTTATTTTTTTTATTATACTTCGCTTTACATTTTTTTTTGTTTTAAGGATTTAAAAGTAAAAGTGGTGATGGTGATAATGTCAAATTAATGGTGTTAGTGGAAGTCGGGTTAATGGAATTGATGAGAGGAGAGAGAGAGTCGTAATTTTAAAATCTTTTTTTTATGGTTCCATATATTCCCTACAAGTTTCAATTCAATTCTATAATAATAATAATAATGAAAAAAAAATGAGTATTTGCATCATCATTATCAAGATAAAATGCCACAGAGCGAGTCAAATGCAACTTTTCGGTAACGGAGAAGGACGTTCATAGCAGACCGTCCACCGTATATCAAGTCTGGTTACTTGACTGGTAACTTTCGTAAGTTATGGCCACAAAGCTTCCAGTTCTCAGATTTACACCTAGTGGCAGCGTAACTTCAGATACATAATAACTCTACATACTACTCAGTGGTAAATTTACTCACATTTCCATATCATCTTTAAAATTTTAAAACTTAATTTGTCGAGCTTCGACGTATTCAACCAAATCTAAATAAATGATTGATCAATTCTATAATAAAAAAAGAAAAAATTCGAAAACTACTCAGTTGTTTTAAGGTTCAACCTTCAACTAATCGACGTTATGAAAAATTCTTGAATTTATTACCTTTTTAATAGTGAAAGAAAAAAATATTTTTTTTTCATATATATTAATGTATATAAATTATATATATATACTAAGGAACAAAGGAAAATTTTTTGATTAGGTGTAAAAACTAATAGTCGCGGGACATTGCAGATCAAGTGTCATTCAATATAAACGTTACACAAAAAAAATTATTGTCGTCCACTTCAAAAAAAAAAAATCTCCATTTTTCATATAACAAGCAATTTTCGACCATGATAAAATTTTTAGAGCCAGACTGGAACTTTCTAATAACAG